AGCCATAGGATATGCACCCAGGCACGCAGCAGCAGGTGGGGTAGTAGCAGGTTCTGCAGACGTACACGGGACAACAGGAAACGGGCTGGCAGCAGCTGGACCCGCAGCAGCTGGACCCGCAGCAGCAAGGCTGGCAGCAGCTGGGCTGGCAGCAAGGGGAGCTACAGCAGCAAGGCTGGCAGCAGCTGCTCACACAACAAGGGCGGCAGCAGGTGGGCTGGCAGCAAGGGGAGCAGCACATTTTGTCAGGTGTGCAGGGTGGGTTCCTTTTCAGAGGTGAGTTTCTCAGATACTGATGACTCCTTCTGTTCTGAGGCTTTTATACTCTGGACCCACAATGTTGGAACCAATAAGCGGGACTTTCCTTGTTTTTGGGGGGGGGGTTTTTGGTATTTACCTTGGATCTGTCTAGGAGGAAATTGTTCCTTGAGTGTTCTGAGGCTTTTATAAACTACCCTTTGATCTTTTCCTTAATTGGGAATCCTACTTAACAGCCTTTTCCAGAAATGAGATAGTGCAGAGTCGTCTGCAGGAACATTTCCGGTCATGTGACATCACGTGGTCATGTGATATTTCCTGCTGTTTGGGGAAGGTCGGAACAGTTGCTACTTTGTAGTTGTGTTTCTTTGGCCGTGTTTAGATTGAGAGGAGCTCTGAGATGTTAGGACCTGATGGTTCTGTGTTAAGAGAAGCTCCGCTTGAGCCTAAGTTTTGACTTAGTCCCAGAACGTCAGGTTCAAGGTTCTAGCATGCACCTGTCTATGGCAACCACTCAAAATGCATCCCCTAGTTCTATCACAGATGCGTGGGTAATTGACCCATTGTACTTCTAATGTAAATTAGCACTGAAAGAGAAGAGAGGCACAAGCAGTCCACTGGGTTTCCGGGCACCAAGTCACTCATGTTCCATCTCTGTTTTCTCATTGTGACAGTATCTTAGGTGAGACATTTTATTTTCTTTATTGTTTATGCTATTACCATTGTCCCAAATACTTCCCTGTGTCCCCTCGTCCCTGGCCTCCCACACTCCCTCAGGCAATCTCGATAGCGTTGTCCATATCCGTGGGGCAGGCATATGTTCTTTGGCCACTCTATTCCCTATGCTGTATTTCACATCCCCATGACTATTCTGTAATTACCAATTAGTATTTCTTAATCCCTACACCCACTTTTGCCTGTGCCCCTAACCCCACTCCCATCTCGCAGCCATAAAAACATTCTCTATATCTGATTCTGTTTCTGTTCCTGTTTGTTTAGTTTGTTTTTTAGATTCAGTTATTGAATTGCCATGTTACTGTTCATATTTTTTACCTTCTTCTTCTTCTTAAAGAAGACCCTTTAACACTTCATATAATAATGGTTTGGTGATGGTGAACTTCTTTGGCTTTCTGTTACCTGGGGAGATGTCCTTTGATTCTAAATGAAAGCTTTGCTGGATAGAGTAACCTTGGTTGCAGGTTCTTGCTTTTCATCACTTTGAATATTTCTCGCCAATCCCTTCTTGCCTGCAAAGTTTCTTTTGAGACATCAGCTGACAGGCCTATGGAACTCCCTTGTAGGTAACTAGCTGCTTTTCTCTTGCTGCTTTTAAGATTCTCTCTTTGTCTTTAACTTTTGGCATTATAATTATGATGTGTCTTTGTGTGGGCCTCTTTGAGTCCAAATTATCTGGGACTCTCCGTGTTCCCTGGTCTTGTATATTCATGACCAAGTTAGGGAAGTTTTCTGTCATTTCTGTTTCAAGTAAGTTTCCAATTTCCTGCTTTTTCTTTTCTCCTTCTGGCACCCCCATTACGTGAATGCTGGTACACTTGAAGCTGTCCCAGGCCTCCTAAACTATTCTCATTTAAAATACTTTTTTTTCTTCTTGTTGTTCTGATTGGGTGTTTTTTGCTTCCTTATATTCTAAGTCTCTGATTTGATTCTCGGCTTGATCCCCTCTGCTGCTGATTCCCTGTAAATTGTTCATTTCAGTTACTGTATCCCTCACTTCTGACTGTATCTTTTTTGTGGTTTCCTTGCTCTTTTTTATGCTTTTGAGGTCCTCGCTAAGTTCACGGACCATCCTTGTAACCAGTGTCTTGAACTCCGCATCCAGCAGACTGCTTGTCTCCATTTTGTTTAGTTCTCCCTCTGGGGCTTGCTCCTTTCCTTCATCTTGGTCTTGCTCCTTCATCTCCTCATTCTGGCAGCCTCCCTGTGTTTGTTTTCACATAGTAGGTAGAGCTGCTATGACTCCCTGGTTTGGCAGAAGGCCTAATAGAGTAGGTGTCCTCTGGGGTCCAGTGGCACAGCCTCCCCTACCACCCAAGCTGGGCACTCACGTTGTGCCCACTGTGTAGGCTGTGTACACCCCTGTACTGCAGCTGAGTTTCGATTGCTCGTGAATCATTTTTCACATATAATGTGTCATCATCTCTTACAAACATTTCTGTATTTTTCAGCTGCTGTCTCGCATATCATGTCCACCCATGGATTAATCTGGAAGTGTCTTCTTTCTATATTTTCCCTTCTTTTACTCACTCGGCCAGTCTACAGGCAGATACCTCCTTGAAGAGACCACAATTCTTATATTTTTAAGGGAATCACAGAAACAAATCTATTCTTACTCTACCGTACTTGTTTTTAGTAAAGAATAGTTTTTTCTCAATAATCTAACATTTTGTCTGTTTTGGTTACATCGTACAGCTGACATAACTCAAATTAACCTCTCTTTTCAAATTATAAACATCCATACCAAGGTGCTAACAAGGAGCCATACATATCGAGGGAGGAGGGCACAATTTAGTGCTTACCTCAATGGCTAAAGAACACGAGTCATAATCTTAACACAATTCCATATGATTTCTGCAAAAAACAAATTTATTATGATACATGAACATTCAAAACGTAAAACATCATCATTTGATCACTCCAGCATGAGGTTTTATGCCAGATGGAGAATTTCCACTACAGCTGATCAACAACTTCTGGTCTGCAAAAGCAATGAAAAGAGGAAATATTCCCAATGAGAAGGATACTCATTGTACACAAAGAGTAGTTCAATGGCTACACATGTGGAGAAAATGAAGCTAAGGAAAGGTGCTGTTGTCTATTTGCAAATGCTGAAAGGTCCGATGCATTGATACCATCCCTGGATGGAACAAGATCAGAATATAAAGACATTTGGAGAAGAGTCACATAGATATGGGCGGTCTCCAAACAGAAAGTGTTTCCACATTGTGTCACACCTCAATCCCCCCCAGGGAGTATCCACCACTTAGGAGACACTGCACACTCATGTGTTTTGCAAAAAGGAGCGGGAACAAAGTCCAGGGTGGCAGGACAGGGTCTTAGGGATCAACAGCAGAGGCTCCCTTTCCCCGTGGCTGCCTCTGCTGTAAGGGCTGCTGTCATAAGCAGAGAATGGCGCTGCACCCTTCTCTGCAAGGTGAATCACGAAAACAATCACCAACACAGAGGCAATGTTTCACAGTGTGCCACTGTTGTAAAAACAGCAATTCTCCCTTGTTAGGATTATGTGTTTGGAGAGTACAGCTGTCTTCCCTGTCTGCAGTGCTATCCACCAGCTTGCATTATCACTGCCGTAGGATCCTGGATAGCACCAGGGAACCCACGCTATGGTGAGCAAGGTCAAAAATAGGCACGTAACTATGGATCCACTTGTCCTACCATACAGCACATGGCAGAAATTTCTGGCCTGATAAATAATGGAATGGTGTTTTAGATGTGCAGCAAAGACACCAACGCAGAGGTAACAACTTGCAGGATTGGTATATTGTCTTCTAAATGTGGTATATATTTTGACTCAATGACCATTATTTGCTTTACATCTATGGAGTACTAAATATATTTATAGGTAAAGGTTAGTCTACATGAATTCAGAAACAATGGGTGAAAGTAGAGGTGACCCTCTTACTGTAACCTCCTGCAACATACTTGAGCTTCTAGGCTTCCTATCCCAGCATGCCTTTAGGCTCTCCTGGGTTGGTAATTTTAGTCCCGTGAAAGGTGCATTGTTTATCAGGGAATGGAAGGTAATTTTACAACTATCATCTGGTGTGTTTGGACTCCTCGTATCAGTAGAGTAGTGGGCAGAGAAAGCAGTGACTGTTTGGTGAGTGCCAATTACCGTGAAGAGGTGGAGAGCAGGGAGACGGACCTCTGGAATGTGGGCGTTTACTGGCGTGTCTCATGGGGTGCTCGGGCCCAGTGACAGCCTTCACTGAGAGGTGACAGCACCACAGCTCGCCAAGGGGGCAGTCACCCGAGGCTCAGACGGCTGCACTTTGGCATGTAAGTGTAAGTGACTTTGAGCCGGAACAGAGGACCCTGTCCTGGATCTGAATCTGTTCATTATTAGCTTGTGACACTACACAATGTATTTGGTGGTTGTTTTTTCTTTTTCTGAAATTGTAGATAATGATTGTTGGAGGCTCTTTTGATGCTCAGAATGGATGAAGCATCCATTCTATGCAACATGTATCTGAAGCCCTATATCGGGAATGCTGCCCAATAAAGCAAACACAATATGGATGCGTTATGACATAGATTTTATTAGGAAACACATAGTAAGACAATTCAGAGGGATCCTGAAAGAAGAAAGCCTTATACAAGAATCATGAGTACATTGTAAGGAATAATGATTATGGAGATTATTATTCAGTTACAGAAACCTAGTAATAAGTAAGGAAGATTTGTTTGACTAAGTTACTTAAAGGGGGGAGCCATAGATCCTGACTTTAGAGTCAAAGCCAAGACCATCCCAGCATGTCAAGGATGCACAAAGCTGGGACAAGATCCACACACATGGTAGGAAGAGAACTGAAGGAAGTCCTAAACACTCCATCAAGCCGATGCTTTAAACAGGCAGTTGAGTCACAGAAATTATGGTCCCACAGGCTGGTTGTCAACAAAGCCTAGAAGGTTAATTTGTTTCCACAATGGTAAGTTGGTTAACAGAACTTATTAGGGCAGGTGGTGGTTCTCTGGCAAAGTGATCAGCAGCAGCAGGATCCGCAGCCATAGGATATGCACCCAGGCACGCAGCAGCAGGTGGGGTAGTAGCAGGTTCTGCAGACGTACACGGGACAACAGGAAACGGGCTGGCAGCAGCTGGACCCGCAGCAGCTGGACCCGCAGCAGCAAGGCTGGCAGCAGCTGGGCTGGCAGCAAGGGGAGCCACAGCAGCAAGGCTGGCAGCAGCTGCTCACACAACAAGGGCGGCAGCAGGTGGTCTGGCAGCAGGTGGTCTGGCAGCAGGTTGGCCGGCAGCAAGGCTGGCAGCAGCTGCTCACACAGCAAGGGCGGCAGCAAGTTGTCTGGCAGCAGCTTGGCTGGCAGCAAGGCTGGCAGCAGCAGGACCCACAGCAGGGGGACCCACAGCAGGTGGGCTGGCAGCAAGGAGAGCAGCACATGGTGTCAGGTGTGGAGGGTGGGTTTCTGCTTGGAGGTGAGTTTCTCAGATTCTGATGACTCCTTCTGTTCTGAGGCTTTTATACTCTGGACCCCCAACATTGGGACCAATAAGCAGGACTTTCCTTGTTGTTCATGTCTTTTGGTGATTACTGGGGAATTGTCAAGGAGAAATTTGCTCCCTTTGTGTCTGAAGGTTATGTAAAAACTGTTTGATCTTTTCCTTAATTAGGAATATTACTTAAGGACCTTTTCCAGAAATGAGACAGTCGGGGATCATCCCCAGCAATATTTTGGTCATGTGATATTATGTGGCCATGTGGTATTTCCCGCTGGGCTGGGGAAGATCAAAACAGTTTTCTCTTCCTAGTTTTGTACCTGTGTCCATATTTAGATTGGGAATTCTCTGAGAGATTCAGGAGTCGATGAGTTCTGTACTGAATGCAAAGCTGCTTGAGCCTAAGACTGGGCTCCCAGAAAGTCAGATTCAAGCCTCTACTACTAGAACGCCTTTCCCAGTGCCATCAGACACACTTGGGTAGAAGATGGAGGGCACTTTTGTTTTTCATAGGCAAACCAGCACCCAAACAGGTGACTGGAGGCAGAAGCAGCCCACTGGGTTTCAGAGCATCAGTCCATCCACACTCCTTCCCTGTTTCCTGGCTGCGTCACTATCTCTGGGGAGACACCCAAACTGGCACGTACTTTATTTTATAAATTAAGGCACATAGGTGAGAGCAAATGATGGCCAAAGTTTATTTGAATATGCAAAGTTATATTTTTCAATAAAAGTGGAAAATTGTCACCTATACATTTTTTAATGTTTTTACTTCTTCTTTCTCACTTCTAGATGTGTCTGCAGGAGTGAAATTGCCGTGTCGTAGGGAAAGCATTTAGCCAACAGAGCAGACAGAGTGGAGCAGTGTTTCAGCATTCCACTGCCAGCGGTGTCCCTTGCTTTCTGATAGTTGAGCCTCCTCATTTCTGCTCGCAGACATCGTAGCTTTTTTGGTTTTTGTTTGTTTGTTTGTTTGTTTTTGCTGAGGTATATGTGACATATAAATTACCTCCAAGTGTAGAGCGTAATGATTTGATATTTGAAAAACGATCAGCACAATTAGCCTAGTTAACATCTCTCAGCATTCATAGTTATTAGTTTTCTTGTGATAAACACTTTCAAGATCTTCTCTCTTAGCATCTTTCAAATATGTGATGCAGTGTTGGTAACCATAGTCATCATGCCCCGTGTTGCATTCCCATGACTAATTTATTTCACACCTGGAGGCTTGTATCCCTTGACCCCCTTCACCCATTTTCCCCCTCTGCACACGCCACCGCTGCCTGCCACCAGTATGTACCTGTAAACTCAGTTGTATTTTTAGATTCTACATATAAGAGAGATCATATGGTATTTGTCTTTCTCTGTACGACTTACATCACGTAGCACAGTGTCCTCTGGCTCCATGGTGTCATAGATGAAAAGATGTACTTCTTTTTTATGGCTGAATAATATTCTGGAGAGTGCATGTGTGTCCCCTTTTCTTCATCCATTCATACGTCAATGGGCAAGCATGTAGGTTGTTTTCTATCTCAGCTACTGTAAACAATGCTGCAATGAACATGTGGGTGCATATATCTTTTAGAGTTAGTTTTTTTTTTTCAGATAAATATCCATAAGTGAAATTGCTGAATCATTAGGCAGTTCCATTTTTAATTTTTGAGTAACATCCATACTAGTTTCCATGGTGGTTATGCCAATTTAAATTTCCACCCACAATGCACAAGAGATCCCTTTTCTCTGCATTTTCACAAACCCTTGCTAGGCCTTGTCTTTTTGTTTATTGTCACTGTGACAGGTATGAAGTGATATCTCATGGTGGTTTTAATTCGCATTAATAAGTGATGTTGAGCACCTTTGCATGTACCTCTTGGCCTTCTGTATGTCTTTGTTGATAAAATGTTTATTCAGATTTTCTGACCATTTTCTACTTTAACTTTTTTGTGGATTTGAGAGTTTTGTTTTTGTTTTGCTATGGAGTTGTATGAGTTCTTTATGTATGTTGGCTATTAAGCCCTTATCAGATGGATGATTTGAAATATTTTCTCTCTTTCAGTAATTTACCCTTTCATTTTGTTGATGCTTCCCTTTGTCGTACAGAAGTTTTTCAGGTTGATGCAGTTCCACTTGTTAATTTTGTTGCCTTTGCTTTTAGTGTTATATCCAAAGAAGTCATTGGCAAGACCCATGTCAAGGAGTTTATTACCTCTGGTTTTGTGTAGGAGTTTTGTGGTTTCCAGTCTTATATTTGAGTCTTTGAGTTAATGTTTGTGTACTCCCAGTAATTCAGTAACATTCTTTCTCCTGCAAGTGCCCAGTTTTCTCAACACCATTTATTGAAAAGACTGTGCTTTTACCATTTTGTATTCTTGGTTCTTTTATTATAAATATATTGACCATTATACTAGGGTTTATTTCTAGGCTCCGTATTTTGTTCCATTGATATATGGCTGATTTTATGCCAGTACCATACCTTTTTTATTACTATAGGTTTGTAATATAGTGTGAAATCAGGGAGCAAGATGCCTCCAGCCTTGCTCTTATTTCTCAAGGTTATTGTGGCTGTTCAGAAATCTTTGGAGTTCCACATAAATTTTAAGGTTTTTTTCTATTTCTGTGAAAAAATGCCATTAGAATTTTAATAGGGATAGTATTGAATCTGTATATTGCTTTGAGTAGTTTCAACATTTCACCATATTAATTCTTCTAATCCATGAGCACGGAATATCTTCGATTATTTGTGTGCTCTCCAGTTTCATTCTTATATAGCTCTAGTTTCAGTGTATAGGTCTTTCACCTTCTTGTTTATATTTATTCCTAGTTATGTTATTCTTTTTTATGCAAATATAATTAAATTATCTTAATTCCTCCTTCTGATAATTCATTACTAGTATATAAAAACACAAAAGATTCTTGATATTTATTTGTATTCTGCAACTTTCCTGAATATTTTGATTAGTTCTAACAGTTTTTTGATGGCATCTTTAGGTTTTTCTATACCTAATATCATGCCACCTGCAAACTGAGTCCGTTTTACTTCTTCATTTCTGATTTAGATGCCTTTGTTTAAAACAATTTTTTTTGACAAATTTCTCTGGTGAAGACTTTCAATACTAACCAAAAGTGGTGAGCGTGGATATCTTTTCTTTTTCTTAGTCTTAGAGAAAAAGCTTTCACTTTTTCAGAATTGAATATGTCAGCTGCAGGTTAGTCGTACATGGTCTTTATTATGTTGAGGCATGTTCCCTCTATACCCATTTTATCGAGACTTGCCAGCATAAATCAATGTTGAATTTTGTTCACTGCGTTTTCTGCATCTATTGAGATGATCATATAATTTGTATCCTTAATTTTGTTCATGTGCTGTGTCACATTGATTTCTGGATGTTGAACCATCCTTGCATCTAAGGAATAAATCCCACTTGATGGTCTGTGATCCTTTTAATATATTGTTGAATTTTGTTTGCTAAATTTTGTTGAGGGTTTTCCATCTGTGTTCATCAGAAATATTTGCCTGGAATTTTCTTGCAGTATCTTTGTCTGGTTTTGGTATCAGGGTAATGGTGGCTTCATAAAATGGTTTTGAAAATGTTTCCTCCTCTTCTATTATTTGGGAAACATTGGAAAGATTTGTATTAATTATTCTTTAAAAGCTTGGTAAATTCACTACTGAAGCTGTCTGCTCCTGGACTATTGTTTTTTGGGAAGTTTTTAACTACTGATTCTAATGTGTTATTAGTAATCACTCTGTTTAGATTTTCTATTTACTTATGATTTAATCTTGGTAGATTAATGTGTCTAGGAACTTATGCATTTCTTCTAGATTTTGTAATTTATTGGCATAAAACTGTTCATTGTAGTCTCTTATGATCTTTTATATTTCTGTGGTATCATTTGTAATGTCCCCTCTTCCATTTCTGACTTTATTTGCATCTTCTCTCTTATCTTGGTGAATCTAACTAAAGGTTTGTCAATTTTATTTCTCTTTTCAAAAGACCAACTCTTGGTTTTATTGATGTTTGCTATTGTGATTTTAGTACCTATCTTGTTTCTTTCCACTCTCATCTTTGTTACTTACTTTTTTTTTCTACTAACTTTAAGAATCTTTTTCTTTTTCTAGCTCCTTGAGGTTAAAGCTCTTTCCTCTTTTTCTTCCTCCTCCTGTTCTTTCTTCTTCTCCTTCTTATTCTGCTTATTCTAGAAAGTGTGGCTGCCCACCAACTTGAAGAAGCAGAGAGACTTCTGAAAGAAGCAAAGGGCAAGTTGTACACGAAGTTTTTATTAATTACCTCACTGCTATGGACTGAATGTTTGCTGCCTCCCAAGATTCATATGTTGAAACCATAACATTCAGTGTGATGGCATTTGGAGGCGAGATCTTTGAGAGGTAATTAGATTTGGATGAGGTTATAAGGGTAAAGCCCCCATGATAAAATTAGTGCTCTGATAATAAGAAAAGGAATCTACAGCCCTCTCATCCTCCCTCCCTCCTACTGGAGGATACAAGCAATAAAGAAGCCATCTGCAACCAAGGAAGAGGGCCCAACCAGACACCTAATCTGTCAGCATCTTGATCTTGGACGTGGTAGCTAGCATAACTCAGAGAAGTCAATGTTATTTTCTGACCCACCCTCTCTACAGTAGTTTGTTTTAGCACTGCAGGCTGACTGAGATGCTCACCCTCATTCCTTGGATCTCAGCGTGCTCAGATGGGTTTCCTTCTGCCGGACTGAACTTCCATGTCTTAGGGCTCTTTCATGCAACAGCAAAGCCACCTGAGAAAAACAGCCAGTGATTCTGCAGAGCTGTTTATAATATAAAGACTTCGGCTCCTTTGTTTGTCAAGTAGGAGAATTCTAAAGTGTAGGTTTTCATTCATTTCTGATAGTTTGCCCCACGGCTAAGCTCTAGTTGCAAACTGTGATCCTGGCTTCATATGCC